TTTTGGTTACATATCTTAAGGTTTATTTCGTGTGGTCCTCGCTTGGTAACAGTCGGGTGTGGGAGAGCTTGTTGGTATGGATTCTTTTTTCAGTGCCCGAGACTGCGGTACAAAAAGCTAAACTTTTAGTCGAAGGAAAAGACGCAGAAAGAGGAACGTTTAAAACTCAGCTACTTTCTTTGCTTCCACGAGTCCTCATACACCCAGAAATCTAAGGCCAACTACGGCCATCGTTGAATTTCCCTAAAGAGACCTACAGTTGCAACAAAAGAACAGGTTACCAGTCATCGAGCACACCCCGGACATTGGTCACTTAGCACAAACCTGCACACAAAAATTAACCTTTATTCCTTCTCCCCTTGTCCCCCACTTTCAAACTGAACAACGAATCCAACCTTCATACTTGTAGTTTTCAAAACTGTCCTTCCAAAAGCCCTACCCTCTTCTTCACTTGTTTGTTTTGTGGACAGCAACATCGAGAAGCAACTGCTGTTAAGTTCAAACAAGGGACTTGGTTAGGTTAAAACGTGTGAGGTTGTTGTAAAACGCTCGCGCAATGTGGGGTAACAGTAGTTGGCTTGTCTGAATCGCCAACCACAAACATTACTACCGTAAAATACCGCGTAATCGCCCCCCCCCCCCCCCCCCCCCCTCGTGTAAGCGCCCCCTCCCTTTTTCCGCACATTTCGCATTTCCGTAAACTACCAAATAAGCGCCCCCCCCCCCCCCCCTCCCCCTCCCCCCTTTTTCCGCTGCCGGTGGCCCCGAAAAAAGTTTTGTTCTGGAAGTTTTGTTTTTATGTGTAGCCAGGGATCCAATCCAATCCAAAAGTAAACGTGAACCACTTGAGCCTAGGGGTGTCGCGAACTTTTGTCGAACCAGATTTTTTAGTCGAACTTCCAAGGTTCGACTGAGTCGAACCGGTTCGACGAACCTTCGAACTTTTCACCAAATTCGACCGGTTCGACTTTATGGACAGTGTGGCCAGACCTTAATACAAGCATGTCTAAGTTTGGAGAATTTTTTTTTTATGCAAGGGGTTATTTTATTTTTTGAACAGCTGCAATTAAAAGAAACTAATTCTAATCACTGAATAAGTTAATAACTTAATGTTTAGTACTGTATTGACTAAAATAGACAATCAGCGCTGCACTTAATTCATCTTTTAGCCATTACCATCCAATCCGAAGCCAACTGGCCAGCCTGTCGCGCATGCGCACACGAGTCGAACCTTAATACAAGGTTCGCCGAACTTTCCACTAAAAGTTCGAAAAAGTCGAACCTGGTCGAACTCGAACCGCGGCCGGTTCGCGACACCCCTACTTGAGCCTTTTGTTCGCCATTTTGTTGTTTGACGGCGCCGTAACCAGTCGCGTTACTGCGTACGCTATGCACTCGTACACTGTGCAAAAGAAGATAGAGGTCGTCCAGTGGCACAGGCTGAATGGCAAGAACGTGCATTGGACATCGCGTCAGTTCAAGCTTGATCGCAAGAGAATCCGCGAATGGGACAAGAAGTATGAAGTGCTTCTTCAAGAGAACTTCGGAAAGTCAAAGTTACGACGCAAGTTGGGAAACGGAGCCCCCGTTTTCAGCGAGAAAGTGGACGACGCGCTTTTTCAATGTTTTTAGTGCGAAAGAAGTGCTGGACGCGCTGTCAGCACTTCTTTGTCAGCGATGTCAGCGATCGGCTCGCTGACATCGGCGTTGTGGTCCCGGAAGAGCGCGACGAGCTGAGCGATGAGTGTGTGGACCTGGTTTTTGGGTCAGATTCTGAAGAATCCTTCGATGGTTTCGACAGCGAATAAAAGGATAAAGTTCGCAAGGAAACTGTCTACGGAAATCATTTTTGGTAAGACTGCAGTCTAGATTGCATACTTTTAGTGGCTGCCATTTTCTTCATCCGCCATCTTGAATATTGGTGCGGAACCAAGGAAGGGCCCCCCCATATTTTGGTTGAATTATCTCTTGAGTTGGGGGGGGCGCTTTCTCGGTATTTTACGGTGTGGTTAAAAGTTGAAATTTTTAAAGGGGAATACAAATGAAACCCTGCTTCCACTTGTTTTCTTCTCCTGGTTCTCTCCCATCATGGCATTCAAATTCATACGTTCCTATTTGGCGGAATATACATATAAATAAAAAAAAAAGTATAAAACTTTCCTCGGCCTAACTAAATATGATAATGCGCAAAATACAAACGTTCCATTTTTCTTTTATCTGTAGCGGGGACGAGTTTTTTTTTTTTTTTACGTATATGGAACTTGTAACAAGAATGCGTTCCAAAAATCAGAAGGAACGAGGAACGATCTTTCGTTCCTTTTTTTTGAGGAACGTGTACAACACTGGTCACGGCACTGTAGCAAGGCCATGGGAAAGAGTCTCGGTAACGGAACGCAGCCATTGGTTTGACGTCATAGCGCGCGCAACCAATGGCGTTGTGCTGCACGATTGAGTGGGGGAGGGGTTAAGGGGTTAGGAACTGCGTATTAGTGCTATCGCTCCTTCCTTGCATTTGACGGAATGTCAAAACCAGGTGGTTTTTTGCACTCTTTAGAACTGATTGAGCTTGCGGGAGTTCCCCGTAATTTTACGAAGCCTTTCTTCCAAAATCAGGAATCGCCTCTCTCGGAGCTTGAGGGCAGCGGCTGTTGAGTGTTGCACATAAAATCGCTCCATCGCTTTGGATAAAACAATAAAGTGCAGCTGCTTGTTAGAACATATAAATTTGAGTATAATGGTCACTAGGAGTGGTTCTTGCAGCATTGTTAAAATATTACAATGAAAACGGTCAAGCTTTATTTTATCTATGCACGTAAAGGATTCGATTGCAGCAGGGGCATAAGGAAAGCAAACATGATGAAACAATGAAGGCAAGCTGTTACATTAATTAAACGGCTTGACAGTCTGCTGTCGTAAGCATCTTTCTGCTCGCTTCAAGGCAGGTGCCGCAAGCTTTCGTTCTTCTATAGCTAACAACAGCAAATGCCAGTGACCTGTGCTGCAACCGCACGTCACACTGGCAATTTTGTGAGCTATTCAAACTAAATGTATATTCTGAATACCCAGACTTTACTTTTCCCAGTATAGGTCCTCTGAATGCGGAATAGCTATTGAGAAAATGGCGAACTAATTCCTTGTTGCGTGCTTTCCGATGGTGTGACGTCACTGGCAGGCATGAGCGGACAGTCATATTGTTGTGTGCTGTTGAGCAGGTGCTGAAGCGAGCTTCCACGACATTCATTTTACACTGTAAGACGTCTTGTATTCACTAATTGGGACCAAGTTCTACTACCAAACAGTAAATTTGTGCACAAAAGCTCATGACACGTCATAAAATTTTAAAAATAATTATCAATCGTCCCTGCTGTAAACTAACAGAAATGTCTCATACGATTACATATAGTGTCGTCTGCTAGCGTCCTACTGACTAGGTTACAGAAAGCATCCGCGAGGCGGCGCCACCCAGAGATCTCGTCGCCAATAGAAGAAACTGAAAAGTCTCTTCTACTGACAAATAATTTAGAGATACTTTTGTTACAAGCTCACAAAAAGATTTTTTATTTCATTTATAAAACTATAAGCTAATAAACTATATACTCTTATTGATAGGAAAGATTTACAATCATGGCTGATGTTTCCCTTTCTTTTCTTGCATATCTGTTTTATCTCCTGCAGCCTGCAAAAGTGGCTGTCGCACAGGGAATAGCTATGGGTTGGATATGAATGCCTTTGAAGCAATTCGTGTTGGCTGAAACAGACTAACTATAGTTTAAAAAATCGAAGTTTGGTACACAAATGACGTGGTGAAGTGGAGTGTTACTACAGAATTTCCCTCTTTATGTGGTTAGTTAAAATACTTGTACGTGCATTCAAGATTGGATATTTTATCAAAATGTATGGATGTACCTAAAATGTGAAGTGTGTCATTGTTTTATTCGACAAGCATGGTACTGTAAGAACTACTTTGTGCAGCATAGAAACTATGCATAAAACTCTCTTTTTTTGTCATATGCATTCATTTTTTCCTTTGTTCTTTCTAGCTTTCTTTTCATAATATATATCAGTATTGAGTCAGCACTTCTGTGTTGTTCCATGTTCTTTTCTGTCCTGGTTTGTCTACTGCTTTTCACCTTGTCAAGGTGCTTGGTGCATTCAATTTACATTAGCGTTTATCTGCTAAGGTAGAGTTCAAGGGATGCTGAAATGAAAATCGAAATATATCTCTCACGTTCAGAGCCGAGTTAAACATCATCAACGAAATCTGCTAAGGACAATCGCACGTTTGTATTTTGAACGAGTGGCTATAATTTTCGTTTCAAATGGCCAATTCCAGCAAGCGCTCTAAGAGCAGCTATCGGAATGTGTTATGCATCTTGGGAGATCCGGCGCCCCCAGTGAGTTCATGACGACAGGTTTTCCTTCGCGGGCAAAGTTACAGGGAAGCCGCCGTGGTTCTGAGCTTTCCCACTTAGTGGCGTCAATGCGTTACAATCTGGCCATTAGGGATGCCCACTCCCTATTTCTTGCGCGAGTTGAATAAGCACGGGAAAGAAGGGAAATCCGGTTCAGCCAAGTTAGGACAGGGCTCGCGCACCCGCAGCTTGCCTCCGTACTTCCGCGAAGCGGCACTGCTTTTAAGGGTAGTAAAACATAACCACATTGGTTATTCATTTTAATTATTGTTTTGGTGTCCTTTCAAGCAAAAAATTGGTGTCTCTGTGGTATGGCCAGGTTGTGGTTGACATCTAGACAATGAAATAGGTGCTGGAATTTCTTTGCAGTACCCCTATAATGTTATAAAAGTGCCTCGGGTTCTACTAATATAAAACTGCTGTGAACAACTGCTTTATTTATTTAATGGTGCAATAAAATATGTCGAGGGATCTTTTTTTCTGCTCTATTTCTTCAGTTTTACAGCTGTATGGGGTAGGATGCGGTTTGGCTATAGTACTTAGTCACTTCCACTTTTGACCTTCCCTCGTTTTTCTGGTACTTTGCAGGTGAAAATGCGTGCGAGAGGACGTCCTTTGTCTTCTTGCGAAAAGAACTGCCAGTGCGGCTAGCTAACATCATGAAGGAAATCCACCTCCTGCCCGAGAACCTGCTCCAGATGCCTTCTGTGGAGCTGGTGAAGAGCTGGTCAGTGTGTCGCATTGTCTCACACAAACCCATACAGTAACTGACTACAGGCTTAGCTCTTTGAGCGTCTAGTCTGACCGATACAGTCATCTGATGCAGGGTGGCTACCAGTAGGAAAACTGGTTTAAAACTAGGGCTAAGGGTGACCCACATTTCCAGGATAGTGTACGAGACTGGAAATCCTTGGTTGTGGAAATGGCAAAGGGAAGGCAGAACAACAGCAAAAAAAAAATTGAGAGTTTGCTGCAGTTATCTTCAACAAGCCAACAGATGTCTGAAGTGCGGTACCCAGGCTGTTACTCCCAGTAATTATGAATAAGTGGATTGTGGCTTCCATTTTGGTACTTCCAGAAGCTCCTCTGAAACAGATTGTTTTTAATGCTTGAGAAGTAAGAACTCAATTCACCATATTGTCTGTAGTGGTACCAAAGTTGGAATTAATCTGGATAATTTTCATGTATCTGTTGACATGGTTGCGAGGGGGATGCAAGGGGAGGAAGTAGCCTCCTCCTCTCTTTAAATTCTGGGGATATAGGCCAGCCCTGGTATGTCCAACAGTTCTAAAGTTTGCCCCCCGCTTGATGGAAAATGTTCCACAGATACCCATGGTTGCTGGGTAAGGTCACACATACTTATTATTTCATATGATTTGTTCTACCCTCTTTGTGTCTCATACCCTGCTGTCAGATTTAAAAAGATGGCAAAGTGCCACCAGCTTGCCTTCTTCCTTACACTTGCTGCTAACTTTCTATGGTAGGAAGTTTAGGAGTGCACTGACATTTGTTGCCTCAGTATTCTAGACCAACATTTAATTATTTTTCCTAGGTATGAGAGAAGTTTTGAGGAAATCTTGGAATTTGAAAACTGCCATGGAGCTGATGAAAAGATCTTATCAAAGTAAGTTGCACTTCTTCTTTTTTCTTTTTTTTTTTTTTTTGTTAAAGGGCTACTTTGATCAATATTTTTTAATTTGGGATTACGAGGGTTTTCGCCTAAAGCAGTGTCTCTAAATTACAAGGTATATATATATACTTTTTTTTTTTTTTTTTCAATATTGGGTGTAGCTTTATGAATATCACGGCTAGAAGTTTGGTTTCGGGCATTTATGGCAAAACTGAAACTCTCTGCTGGAGGGATAACAACACTGGTCATCAGCCGTACAGCCACGACGTGACATCAAAATGGTGCTGCAGTATCCGGTACAACCAATCAACTGCAACTCCACTGCAACGACGTCACAAGGGTGCTGCACTAGTGTTGCTTGACTAAAAGCTAACCCGCTTGCTGCCCTCTAAAGAGCAGCTGGTCGCATCTTTAAAATTGGTTTTAGTGAAGCATGCGACTTCACTTCGCTGTAACATTTCGGCTGTAATCGTATTTTGTGCCACTAAAACGATACCAGTCATTTATTTTGATTTTGTTTTCGACCGAGGTTGCCCTTTAAATCAGTATTATGCACATTCTGCACTGTACAAGATGAAAAAAGTATGGTATGCCTTTTGTCTCCTTCTGATGTGCTCTTTAGATAAGGTTCTGCATTTTTGGAGGTTATTTGGGGGGCAAAATCGGAAGGTGTGCTTTGCAGTGTTTGTTCATGGTACACAAAATTTTGAGTTTTGGGTTAGTAAGTACAGAAATGTCTTTATTACACGGTCACTATTTACAACATCTGTATTGAGATTTGTTAGTTATAACTTGTGGCAGTATACATGCATACTTGCCAAAATTGGAGCCAGTCACTGCTGCATGCTCCTTCCCATTGTCAATGCAAAGCACCGACAACACTCCTTCGATATTTGCTCTGAAAATCTCAAAAGCAAGCAAGTGTGCTAGTTGGAATTTTATTTCACAGCAATTGGGGAGGGTTCCCTTTCAATTAGCCATGTTTTACCACATGGTAAAACTTGCTGACAATAAATTTGTCACTGCCAATCAGTTCAAATCTGGGTATTCCTTGGCATGTAATGATCACGAGATTTTACTTCCTGCCGATTTTGTGGTGGTGCTCAGAAAGTGGTGCCGGATCTTTAATAACCATTGTTGACGCGAATGACGAGGGAATGTGTGCAAAACGTTCAATCGTGAACAATAGGGGGCTTGAAGAACGGGCTGAAAGACATTCTTTTGGGATGCTTATGAACAAAGGTAAAAATTAAAGAGAAATAAAATAATTAAAGTTGTCTAAGTTGCGATCCCAGGAAAATATGAAAACCAGATGGGTTTTTTAACAGGCAGTCCCGTTATTCATAGTTTTTCAGGCAAATTTTTGTCCGCAATATTTTTAGCGTCGAATGTTTCTTGGAGTTTATTCAATTTGTCTGGAAACGCAGAACCCTCTTTATTGAGTTAAATCTCAGTAAAGAGGGTTTCGAGCTCATAATTCTCTCTCCTTTGGTCTCATTTCAGATGGAAATTGTACTATCTTAGTGTAGTTAGCAGTACTTGCAGCCTGGCAAGGCAACCTGTCACTGAAGTATCCCCGTAACCTCGTTAAAATTGTGTCGCACGGTGTGTTTCATTTGCCGTTTTGTTGCTTTCAGGTTCTGCGACGCTCTGATCAAAATCCGGAACCGTCACTCTAACGTAGTGCAGACTATGGCGCAGGGTGTAATCGAGTTGAAGGAGACCCACGAGCCTGATGTCAGAACAGAGCACAGCATCCAGTACTTCCTGGACCGCTTCTACATGAGCAGAATCTCCATCAGGATGCTCATCAACCAGCACAGTAAGGCCGCAGGCAGACCTGTCGGGCGCTCAGTCAACCTTACTTACTTTGCCTGCCAATACACAAAACTTCATAAAAGGAGAGGACCAGTAGATATAACATTGAAATGACTGCTGACTGTAAGAAAATGCAAATGAAAGAAAAGTCAAAAGTAGATGTAATGCACTTCGTAGTGCTCAGGTACGACTCACCCATACTGTTGCTACACCAAACTTTTCATACCACTTCGTCTGCCCCAAACATTGCAGAGGCACCCGAAACCAGATTAAAAGGCTGATTGCATTGGCACTGTGTAATCAAGAGTTTGATTACACACTAAACAAGCCCTTGTGGTTCAGCTTGATCTCCTTTCCTTTGTTTCGACAACACTTGGCTTGTGATTAGCTTGGAATCTAGTGAAGTATTAAAAGCTCCCCAGTGTATCCGAGCTTAATAATGTGTATGTGTATGTATTTGTTTTATTTATTTCGCTAGACTAGCAAACATTTTCAAGATGAGGATCATGCAGTGTGTTGTCCTTTAATCATCACTCGCAGTCTCGAACAGCTTCGCAGTTGGAGGAGCTGCTCGAATATATCTGGCAAAAAGTAAGGCATATGAGGGCAGTACCATATAGAAATGCAGCTTGCTATTACATTACTTGGGAGTTCCAATCCGTCATTCCTTAGCAAAATTTTGGGTTAGCATCTTGGAAGCATTAGGACTTTTACCCAATATACCATACAGTCTCCACCAATATGAAAGACTCACTCGGAGTGCATGGCTGAGACAGCGGCTAGTAGCGTGGCTGCTTGAGCTTTGGACGATTTCATGTGGATCAAAGGAAAGGTAAGGTGCTTCATTAGTGAGCGGTGATTCAGTTTAACTGTGTTATCAAGTGTGATATAGAACTGCCCACAACACACGCCACGTCCCTACATGTTGCCGTCTCGGCCACGCGCTCCAAGTAGTCCTTTATATTGCTAGAGACTGTACAGATTGTGCGCAGCTAGAGTTTAATCTCCACTGCATTTGTTGCCATTTTTAGCCTCCTTGTTCGGCAAAGAGAGTGGGAGCCACCATCGCCACATTGGCTGCATAGATACTAACTGCAATGTCTCGGTCATTGTTGATGGTGAGTTTTCATCCAGACCCAAGGTCACCTTTTGGTGCTTATGCACATGTCGTAGGCACCTTCATCTAGCAATGGGGGATTCCAGCACTAACAGATTAGCAAAATTTGTTTCTAATCATAATTAAATTATGTTTCTGAAATCGCTGTGCTTTAACATACTTAAATGTAATGAAAGTAGTGCAGCAACTAAAAGATTTAGAATTAGTCGTTTCTTTTTTTACAATTTCTTTCATAAAGTACTGTCATTACATTTTGCTTTGGCTCAACTTCACGCTGCACTCCAGAACTTTGTGGTGCGTCACTGTAATGTCTTACCCTGCATATGCAGCATACTTTGTAGGAAGGTTCCTGGATAACAGTTTTTTGTGGTTATGTTAGCGCCTAGAGGTTGCAAGATCAATTGAACCGGCAAATTTTGTGTGTGCAGGGGAAATTATGAGATGCCACTCAAATTTTTCATGCACGGAATGGATGGGCCTGCCAACATTGCGTTTTACATTCATGCTAGATTGCTCATTTAATCCGTATATAATTTTACTTTTGGTGCCTGTTCAGTTTTGTCGACAAGCTGTGCAATTAGTACTGAGTTGCTTTCTTGGTTTGTTGCTTCCCTTTCAGATGCCTATGAAAACGCGAAGTTTCTATGCGACCAGTACTACCTCTCCTCTCCTAGTGTTGTCGTAGAAGAGTATGATAGTGAGTTTAGTTTTTGTACACTTCCTACTTTCAGAAATTGTTGAAATGTGTGACTGCATGAGCTGCTCTGTATGTATGTTTGGAAATGGAAAGTTGTGCTGTATTATCCTATGGCACAGATAAGTCCTCATAATAGGAACCCTTTGCCAGTTGGTGAAATGCTAGACCAGTCTAGCGTTCTATGGCCAATGGTTGCATGTACTATATATATATATATATATATATATATTTTTTTTTTTTTTTTTTTTTCCAACATTGAAACTAATGGTATGTTAAATAGATCGGTGGTGGCAGTTCAACTTGGCAGCTTTTTTGGAGTTGATTGGGAGTTTGATTTGTTGCTATTAACTTTTGTTAATCACAACAACAACTATCCTACCGCTACTCAGTCTTTTTTTACATCTCTAATGGGCCTTATGTCTCGTCTTTTGTACCTTGCAGTGCTGGCTTCTGGAAAGGCGATTTGTGTGGACTATGTGCCGTCGCATTTGTACCATATGCTTTTCGAGTTGTTTAAGGTATCGCACACTTTTTATTTCTCCAATTTCCGATAATCTACCTCCGAAAATTTGTATTGAAAATTGCAGTTTTCCACTCCCTCAAAGGAGTCTTGTACCAGCTTTCGCTTGCCTATCTATTTATTGGTGGTATAATATTGAGTTTGTTTCGATAGAGGCAATAGGCCTGATCTCTTTATCCAACTCAAGCTGTTACTATCTGAGCTCAAATGTACCGTGACTGGCGATAAGAGCTAAAACGTCACGCAAACGGCGACCAGGCAGTAGGGAACACGTAATCTAGCAGGCAATGAGTAAGGGGTCATAACGACAGAGGAGGTATTGAAATGTGTCTACTCAACCTCCTCGCCCCCGACGCACACATGGTAACCGTGCGACAGCGTGGTTTGTACTGCCTGTTCGCCGTTTGCGAATACTAGCTCGTGTCGCTAGCCACCGTACATCCACTCCAGACGAAAACTTGTACATCAAGCCACGTGCAATGCGCGACCAAAGTAGTGGAGTCGTTGAATTGTCCTTTGGGCTAAGAGCAAGTATGTATGCGCTTTGTGGTGCCATTGCCGCTGCAGATTACAAAACAGATGTCAAGTCAGACGAGCCGTGGTTCAGGTGCATGTAACTCGGCAGGTGGAGAGCAAGATCGCTCGAGGCCGCGACTTGTGTCTAGAGGCTGGTTCGCACAGTTTGCGTTTGAGTGTGATAGATTGCATTGTTCTCGCTTATTATCGCTTATGATTAGAGCACAGGTATATCCCTGGAACTGCTTGTAATTAGGCCGAATTTGAGCATTTGTGAGATCTTTGGACTTTCTACGAGAAATGGTCGCCTATAACATTGTCAGAGCCCCTGATGAAAGAATGATGTGCAAAAAAAAAAATGGAAAATATATTTGTCATTAGCATTCCAGGGCTACCTGGTAGATGCTCCGGCGTGTCCTCTCGTAAGGGGCTACGAGCAAGCACTGCGCACTCAACTACACTCAAACGCAACTCTGTAAGCCATCGTTAACAGAGAATTAGGCACTAACAAGGTGTCATAATTGAGTTTTCCTACATTCTATTGTCTCCGTTCTTGGCAGAACTCCATGCGAGCCGTCGTCGAGTACTACGGCACTGACTGCGAGAGCTACCCTCCGCTCAATGTGCTGCTCTGTCGTGGGAAGGAAGATCTCACCATCAAGGTATCGTCCCCTCTACTCCTCTCGCTTAAAAAGCAGATGCAAAGAAAAAAATTTTAACAGCTTAGATGGGGAAAGAATGTTATAAAACAAATTTACAACGAAGAAAAAAAAAATTTTGGCGCTATAGTTACGGCGCAAGACGAATTTATAGTTGGTGCCCGCAGCAGTCGCCGCGGATTTTGTGGTAGACCTGTAAGCCGTCGCGCGGCGCCACCGCCGCAGGCAGAAGCAGGGAACACATGAGCGGCAAAAACGGACGCACGCGCGCTGGTTTCCATAGCAACAGTCCAGGACGCTGTGACATGGACCTGTGCCAAGCCGCCACGTCACAGCATGCTCGCAAGTTGCCATAGAAGCTGCCGCGCGGCGCCCGCTTTTGGCGCTCATGTGTTCCCTGCTTGAGCGTGGTGCGCTGCCGGTTAAACATGTTTCTCCACGCTGCCGCCGCTGCTGTTACCCAAGTTTGTCTGCTCTGGGGCGCTGCCGCCGTCATCTGACAGGTGCACATGTCTATCACGTCTGCTTGCGCTTTTTCAGGAGCTTCCTTTGGGCTCTAAAAGTTACTTACTAATCTTCGTTTTTTGTGGCACTTCAAACGAAGATGAATCAGTAACTTTAAGAGACCATAGGAAGCTTCCGAATAAGCGGAAGCACCACATGACAAATAGCGGCCAGTCACGTGACAAATAGCTGCCCCTTTTTTGCCGCACCCGTGGGCGCCAACTACCAATTTGTATCGCGCCGTAAATATAGCTCTAGAAGTTTTTCTTTTTCGTTGTAAATTTGTTTTCCAACTTCCTTTTCCCAACGAGGCTGTTTAAAAAAAAAATTATTTATCCTTTGCATGTGTTCTTTAAAGGACCCATGAAACGAATTTTAGGCTGGAGTAAATCAATTTATATTGGGATTTTACTAATAGCAAATCGTTCAGTGGCCTAAAAGAACAAAGGCAGAAAGTCAGAAGCCTGACTTTCGCTACGAAAATTTGTAAAACATAGCGGACTATTTCGTACCTCCTTCCCTTCGTAAACTCTCCGCCTTTTCACTGTGATACATCCGCGGACGCCGCAGCGCGTCACCGGGCTACTAGCCACCATAACCGGGCCCCCGCAGCGCGTCACCAGGGCCCAAGCGCACGTCACACGACACCGGACCGCACTTAATCCCTTTACCCCTAAGCTGACATTGCGGTGGAAGCTACGCGCTTGCCGGACCAATCAGCCGTCTCCCTTTCATCACCTGACCTCATTCTCTGCGCGTCGGTATGCGCGAGAGGGCATGATCACGTGGAAAATGTGTGGCTGGCCCAACGAGCACGTAGCTTCCACAGCACTGTCAGCTTGGGGGTGAACGGGGTGGGGAAAGCAACTAGTCGGAATTTTGAGCGACGGGCTAATCTTCTAGGGGGACAATGGCTGTGTCCGGCTAGTCAAGCGAGATTCCGAGCAAGAGGGGACTCCCCCCTTTCCGACTTCTTGAACTGTTTGGTACAATGCGCGATTTATGAGTTGAGAAGGAAAGCTAAACAGAAAAAGTTGAAAAAGTGTTTCATGACTCCTTTAATGCCACATGCTGTGCCTTTTGGTGCTTGTTTTGTCAAAAAGGACACTGTTGCGTGCAGCATTCATTACAAAGCCTGGTAGGATGCTGTCATCTACGGGTTTCTTGCATTCTCAAAGGGACATTTCGATTTTTTCTTACTTTTGCTTTCAAAATTTCGTTGTTTTTATGGCGCAGTGTTTGTCTTTGAAAAGTTGGTTCCCTGTTGGGATTTCACAGTTTGTTCTAGTGTGCTGTCACCTTTCTTCTACAAAAAAAGAATGAAGTATTTATTTATTTATTTATGGGTTACCTGTTGTATGTTCCATGCCACATACCAAAAGACAGCAATTTAGGGATGTGTTTGTTATAGATGATGTTACCTTATGCTTTCACCTATGCTTTCACTTGGAGAGTAGGTCAAGCTGATTCATATTGACTTACAGTTGTCACAGTTCTTTCAGTTATATCTACGATTAGAAACATGATGGCCCCACATTGAACAAGTAACTATTAGTCATTGCCAGTTGCTAGAACTTGTGAATGAGAATAAAATATCTGGGTTATTGTGTTAAGAATTGTTCTGTTAATCCTGCTTGGCTGTATTTACAGCCGAATCCAAAGGCAAAGCCAATTTCTGCATCTAGAATTGAAATATAAATCATTTTAACAATGTACTACTATGTACCGGTTAAAGGATTATCCCAATTATAGCCTTGTTGCATGCTTTTATTTGAAGCTACTCGGGACCAGCAAAATAATTTATTTTACGAGCCACTTGGTCTACAAGTTTGGTGCGAAAAATTAAACGTGTGAGACTGGATCAGATCTGCTGCATTCCTGCGTAAATTTTTTTTTAAAAACGACCGAGTGGAGGACGAAGAAAAGAAGACAGGAACGAAATTGAACTTTGTTTGTATGGAGTAATCGAGTAGGCATCAAAAAGAAATTTAAATACATCTTAATTCTACAGATAAAGTGGAAACACAGCATGCACAACATGTCTTGAGCTACTGATCTCTACTATAAAAGGCTGGATGACGCGTCGAGCGCGCGGGACTGAAGTCACCGGAAGTAAGCGGCTTGTCCCGGAAGTGAGCTCTTGGCAGGCTTTGTAACCCTTCTGAGTGCTGGTTCGAAAAGCATCGAGGGTACTGGATTTTTGCTTGTCACCTCAATAGAGCTTGCTTGTTGCGTAGTAAGAGCGCATGCAGACCCTACAAGTATCATGGGAAGCCATTCAATGTAAACTTTTTGAGATTCTAGTTGGATCAAGTGTGCATATGTCCCAAGTTCAAATGCCTCATTTTTGGGATTTATTTCGGAGCATGATTATTAAAACACACTCAAAAATACCAGAAAGTATGAACTAAAGCATCAATTGAATGCACTAGGAAGCACAGAAGACGTTCGACTTCCAGGACAGCTTCAAACGTCCGGTGGCTTTACTCAGGCCCGACTCGGAGATCGGCTAAGCGCCATCCAGCCCCCTATTGTAAAGATCAGTGGTCTTGAGCCCCTCCAACCATTGGGGCAGTTTTTAGTTTTCGCAGCACAAATATGTGTATATCAGCTGTAATCATGCCAATTAAAGCCGCTCTGCTAGCGCAGGGGTTAGGGATGTGGGTTATTGAAACTAGAGCAAGAGTGCAAGCGATTGGTAATTCAGGAGCAGGAAAATAATGTGACGAACAACACAAAGCTTTGTGTGGTCCGTCCTGTTTTTCCCCTGCCCCTTGGTTACCATGTCGGTATCGGATGACTGAGCAAAGGGTCAGTGGTTCGATTCCCAAAGAGGGACTCAGTCTCTCGTAAAAAGAACTGACTGTGTTATCATATTTTCTTTCCAACATTTTGCGACGCTCTAGTCTACACACCCAGCCCTAAAACACATTTTGTGTTGAAAGTGCCCTCATACTTTCATGCCTGACCTTTTCTGCTCAGCTTTCGGACAAGGGTGGAGGCATCCCAAGGTCTCATACGGAACTCCTGTTTCAGTACATGTACTCCACGGCCCCCCAGCCCTCCAACTCTGGACTCAACTCAGCTCCACTGGTGAACTAGCAATCCCTAATTTTTACCTTGTACTTGGGTCTCTACTCTCCTTGTTCGCTTATAAGCTTCTTTGTCTGGTTTGGTTATTTTCTTGCGTGTCTGACTGTACATACTGCCCTCGATCATTATTTTAAGCTTACCTTTGTTGTGTCTGGAGCTACATATGCACATTTTTCTTAACCATACTGCAATTCGCTGCAATAGATCCGTAGATGTCCCCGCAGGGGGCGCCTGTGTTAGCAGGTGTTTGGTGAGTGGTCTCACCACGGGCCCCGAGCCATGTGGGTTCACCTTCCTACGTCCGTCTGTGTGTGGCATGCCCATGTCCGGGGAAAAGGGCACCTTGATGATTCAGCAGAGCCCAGGGTAGGTTTGGACACTTCCGGGCACCCCTGGCGAGGCGACAGACCACTTCAACCCCTGTTTCTCGCAGGATGGTGTCCTGGTAAGGACCCGGCCAGGATGATTCAGTCTGTCGCCTCTCTACCCTTTTCTTTCTTCTTTCTCTTTTTTCTCCACCTCCTTCTTTCTTCTATGTTCTCTTCCTACCTTTTTCAACTTCTTAGGTGGCAAGTGCCAACCTTGGGTAGAAACAGGTCCTGTCCCTGCAACCACACTTGGGTATCGTGCCTGGGCAGCACTGGTAGCGTGCTGTTGTCAGCAAAGCCCTTTTTGTTATGGCACGGTAGCTACACCCGTGTTGGGCTTCGTGGTGGGTGGAGCACCTGGGCAACGAATCTCTTTCCATTTATTATGGGTCCTAAACTACACTAAACCTCCGAGGTCTGCACCAAAATCCACGACCATTGTGCAAATTCTCGAATTCTTGAGATTCACAAAGTTTCTTATTGTACATTCTGAGGGCAAAAAGCCACTTGCAAGGCCTACTCCACTCCTGGTTTCAAAAGTGCTTGAAGGTGTCGTTGGCACCAACTTTAATGCGAAAAACAATGGCGTTGGGCAACCTTCTGTTTGAGAGTAACAGGAAGCAACAAGGTGAATCTCTCCTGGGCTGGAACTCTGTCTCGTATGACAAGGTTAGTGTGACACCTCGCTCCAAGCTGAACACCGTTCAAGAAGTCATCTCTGATGACGACTGACTTGAAACATCTGATGCGGAGATCGGTCAGGGCCTCTCCAGTCAAGGGATTGTAGCTATGTGCCGCATCACCCTCCGCCGAGACGGTGTTGGACGAAAAACCAAACCTATCATGACATTTGTTTCCACCCCAATACCAGAAACCGTAAAGGCAGGCTACTTTCGGTGCCGTGTTTCAAGCACCAACAGTTCGGCTATGGGTCACGGAACTGTCGGGGAGCCATCACTCAAGCCAGTGCTCCAGTAAAGAACATGTTGCCGACACTTGTGACAACGACAACATGTGAATACATATATGGACTTTAAAGACATAACTTAAACACCGACCAAGATGACTCAAGCGCCCATACTTGGTAATAAAAGTTAGAAACTAGCGTTATACCAAGCCCGGCAATTTCGCCAGACCAGCCATGGACCACCCGCTTTACTTCCCTCTGCCTTCAAATTGACATCTAAATTAAAAAGCTGCTAACATTTGGCAATCTTAAAGGGGCAGTGCAACGATCTTAATGTCAAAAGAGTTTGCAGCTCGCATTTTTTTATAATGAAAAAATGCACCACTTTCCCCCGAAATACCGCAATTCTGTTGCGTAATTGCGAAGGAAAAAACAAATACCATCTTTCCGACCTGCCGCTGCACGTGACACTCATTGCAACTACGGTGTGACGCCGTATGGAGCATGCAAGTCTTCGTGCCGCCATCTGTCGGAATTCAACAAAACCGTTTCCTTTCCTCCGTGGCTACGCTGCCTGAAACATGTCTCCTACCAGTGCGTTTGGCGTCCCATTCCGCCCGTGCATTCAAAGTGGTCTCCAAGTGGCAACATATGACGTCGCAGAAGCGGGAGTACCACGCTCTCAGATGTCGCAATCCTGGTGGTTGGTAGTAGAAGTTCTGGCGAAAAGAAGAGCAAACGTGAGTGTCGCCGTCGTCACGGTGTTTCAACCCCTGACTGCCGAAGCTTCTGCAGACTCAAGCTGAAGAGCGACCTGCAGCATGACGGGCATCTACCACATTCACTGCCATCGCTGAAACACCGCAAGGGTCGCTGTCAAGCCGAAGAGGAACCTGCACCAGAACAGGCGTCTGCCCATCCACTACCGCGGCTGTGACGAAACCAGAATCGCGACCTGCGACAACGTGACGCTTCAATGACGTCATCAGGCAGAAATCGAGACCATGTTCTTCGGACGCAGTAAACACGGCAATCAGGGATGCGCTGCAGGCACCATACCGTGGCAAACCGTCTTTTATCACAATTGTTCGCCGCGACCTTCAACGATGCCGAGCAGGTGCAATGCTCTGTGGTAGCCGAATCGAACCTCGGAAAGCCGACAATCGTAGAGGAAGGGCTGGGAACCTCGAAGGTAGAAGCAAACGTTGTATTGCGAGTGACATCGCTCCACACCTCACTCAGAAAATGGTGTAAGAACTAGCGCATGCGAGAACTAAATGTTTTTCTTTTCTTCAATCTATAGGTGACATATAACAATTCCCACAATTAATTGGCCAAAGTATGAAAATCTGCCTGGTTTTAACGTATGACATGCAGCCATATAGCATATTTTTCCGCGTAAAAAGAAATGGAGGAATGAGGCAGTCGTTTGTTTCCATTCTAGTGCGTTTCCTTGTTCTGTTTCATTCTCAAGACGGTTTTGCATATGGCGCTTAGATAATATGTAGTCACATTTATTTGTAAGAACCTCTATGCTCGTTTTCACCTCGAAAACTGTAGTAAAAAAACCTTTCGCTCTATGCGGACCATTCCTAATTTTCCCCTGCATACCTGCATATTGGCGAGTTAAGGGGGGACATGGGCCCAAGTCCCAAATTTTTTAAAAAATTTATTTTTCACTTTTGAGGTTTTTGGTTTTAGAAACTAATTATACACTCCTACACCAAATTTCATAACCATGCTCTAAATAGTTACATTGATATAACATATTTTCAGCAGGTTGTGAGGCACTAACAAGGTAAAGGAGTTCAATGTTTGGATGCTTTTTTCTCAGTTCCGCTTTTTGCTGCAAATTTTATACAAAGGAATCTTTTGTTCAAAGGTAAAATTATTCTGTTACCACAATCAAGATGTTGCTGAACTGAAATTTACTGGGGAATCGGGCTATCTACTTTATTTTGTTGTTAAAGTCCTTATCGAAAAAAGGCTATGTTTTCAAAAATTGACATAGGACAGTTATGAATCTCATATTTCAAGGTAATCACTCTTCCTGAAATATTCACATTTGAATTATAAAAACTAGATAGCCCGAAGTCCCACATCCCCCACTTTATATTCAAGCATTTAAAATTATGCTTAATAGCTTCATTTGCATATCATAGATTTCTTAACGAAGAGCGACATATCTTCTTATGCACATACCTAGAGAGCTGAAAGTTTGCATAGTACACCTTCATCTGAAGTTCAATCTCCCCTGCAAATTTCATTCTGATCGCTTGAGTAGTTCAACCTCTAGCCAGCGTCCCCCCTTAAAGGGGCACTCAAGCGATTTTTCGCATCAAGCCAATTGAAAGTTCATATGATCGGCAGCAATAATAAAAAAAAATTGAACGAAATAATAAATGGCCTTTTTGGATAAAGTGGGTTCAAAATATCAATTAATTTCATTTTCGACGATATTTCAAATTTTATATAAAACATTCAGTGAAAATAACATAAAACTAAACTTATGCCCGTCGATATTCTATGTATGGGGCTACACCCGCATAGTATTTGGTAAGCGACAAATATAATAACTCGTGACAAGGCTCTGAAGTCGTCACCGCATTGTCAAGTGGGAGCGATTTCGATCACTTCTAGAGAAGATACAACAAAAAAGGGGGAAATCGCATCAAGCCAATTGAAAGTTCATATGATCGGCAGCAATAATAAAAAAATTGAATGAAATAAAAAATGGCCTTTTTTGATAAAGTGAGTTCAAAATATTGATTAATTTCATTTTCAACGATATTTCAAATTTTATATAAAACATTCAGTGAAAATAAAATAAACAAAACTTATGCCCGTCGATAGCCCATGTATGGGGCTACACCCACATAGTATTTAATAAGTGACAAATATAATAACTCATGAGTTACAAGGCTCTGAAGATGTCACCGGATTGTCAAAGAGACGATGTTTGGCATTTTTTACCTCAATAAACAAAACTACAAAAGTATTTTCCTTTGAACTAAAAAATAGTCCAAATAACATACAAGAGCACAAAAAATTACTGTGAGTTTTGTATGCTTCCCGTATTCATACCATCGTACAGAACTGGGTAGAAAAATCACGGAGTAAAAAACAGATTTTCACCCTGCTCCACTCAATAATTTTTTGTGAAGCGAAATATTTTTTAAAAAAATTTCGAAAAGCAGTTTTGCTCTTTCCAGAAATGGGGCTATGACATATATTTTTTTTTAAAAATCGAAAGACCCACCCCGACAAGCGTGTTCGATTTCAAATGGAACCACCCTACTAGCAATAATAATACACCGATTTTCTACGTCGGAATGCTGCAGAGTTACGTGGCAGTGTGGTTTGGTGAGCGAAAAGTGTTGACTCTTCATATTTTTGTTTCTGGCCATTCCTAGGCTGGCTATGGCTATGGCCTGCCCCTCTCCCGGCTCTATGCCCGCTACTTCCGTGGAGACCTGATCCTAACGTCGTGCGAGGGCTACGGCACCGACGCCATTATCTACCTCAAGGTGAGCGGGACGCAGCATTTGTACATGGTACCTCCGAGCTGATGCCACCCATGTAGTTTCACTGGAGGTCTCGCCACAACTAGCTCCGTCAGGCTCTTTATTAAATTCTGCTGCAGTGGTAGGGCAGCTGTGCCAGCAGTGTGTAGCTTTTCACAGCACTACTGGAAAACAGTGATGTGGAGCATAGGTATACGATACCGGAGATGCACGTTTTTTCTATTATCGTAGCAACCAAACTACCTTGTGTATCATTTACTTGCATGCTGCTCTTTGGCGTGTATTATATGTTGGCCCTGTCAACTCCCCTAGCAGATAACCGATGGAATGGAATGGAATGTCTCATTGTTGTCCCTCAAACATCTACCCTGTCTGGGTTTTCATTTTTCCTGGTGCCTCGGAGGGAATACTGTAACTGAAAGGAAACTACAAATCTGCAAGAAAGCCAGGCTCTCTTGTTGCCTTTAGGAAGGAAATAAGCTTTATATCATCGGTGACGGGTTAAGAATTCAGCCGAAGCCCCTCTCACCTTTTCCACTTTAGCAGAGGGGATACTGGAGAGGAGGCGACCTCCCCTCCAGCATTCGCTCTGCTAAAGTGGGAAGAGGTGGGAGGAGCTTCCCCTGAACTTGTAACCTGTCACCAACTGTAGATTCGCAACACTGCAACACAAATTGGGTTTGTGGAGGGAGCTTCAAGTCCAACTCTACGCAGGCACTGAGCAACGAAGCCAACGAGATGCTCCCCGTATTCAACAAGGCATCGAGCAAGCACTACAGCTCGGCGGTTGGGGCCCGTGATTGGGTGACGCCCCCGTACACCCCGCCTCCTCAGGGGCAGGGAATTCGCAGCATGTCCAACCTGTCCGTGGGCGCCCCCAAGCAGTCTGTGTTGGCACGCAAGTTCTCGCAGGAGCACGGCAAGACAAAGTGAGCTCCTTTACCGCTTCCTCTCTCACTGCTTGCCCAGCTATTTGGAATAAAAGTGAGGTACAGTCGACTCTCATTAACTCAAACTCGAGGGGGGCTGAAAATTTGTTTGAATAAAGCAAAGTTTGAATTATCAGGAATTTCCTCTTATAAAGACGCACAGGATGGGACCTGCATGTTAGTTTGAATTATCCGTAATTTTGAATTAACAGATTTTGAATTAATGAGAGTCGACTGTACTAGTATTATATGCAACAACAGTGCAAAAGAGACCAGAACAGCAGAAGGGACACACAAAACAACAACCAAGGGCACTGACCTACACAAGGTAGGAGGTGAAAATAGATAAGTTAGTCAGCAGCGCTGTTTGTCTTTCTGTGTGTCTCCTCTGTTATCCTGGTCTTCTTTGCACTGTCGCTGCTTCAAAATGAATCTCTAACTCATCCAAGCCTTCATCTTATGTGAGGCAACTTCCCATTTTGGTGACGTCAAGTTGCTGTGAAACTGGTTTTGAGATTTTAAATGGGAATGTGGAGGTTAACACTGAGAGTATACCCTACTAGCTCTGAACATGCAGAAACTTGCAAATGGATAACATCTGCAAGTTCAATCTATTTGTGACGGAGAAAACAATGTTCCACGACTTCATGTTACCCTTGCCCATCTGTTTGTCCGAGTGGTACGATCTGGTACCGGTATTATCAATGATGTGTTTCTTTCTTGTGTAAGTTATGGCGATGTAAAGGTTTGGCACGGCATAATCTTAATAACTGGAAAGAACAGTTTGTTGCCTGAAGGCAGGTAGGCCCTCAGGTATCGTGAGCATGGGTTGGGCTGGTAAGCAAAATTGCAAGTTTGCAGCTTCAGAATGACATGCACTCAAAGCGAAGTAGTGTGTTTTCTGTCACAGTTTTGTAACCAGATGAGCGTTGCTGGATGCGTCCGAGTTTACAGATTACTCTTGCAAGTTTTAGGAGGGCTGTTCAGTGAGCAGGGCTGAAAAAGGTGTGGCCATCAGGATGTAGATCTGTTAGCCTAAACTGGACATTAACTTTTTTTTGCATCTTGATCGTACAGTAATACCATTGAGACCACAATAGTTGTTTCAATGGTAGCCTTTCAATTCTAGGAGGAAAGCAGGAAAAGCCAGCAATTGTTTGTTTGCACTAATTCTGTCGCACTCTGTACTCCCGTGAGCCCGACGTTCAGGAAGTCCACGCCTACGCTCAAAAATGCACAATGACCACAAAGGGCTAGGCACATTGAGTGAAACCGTTGGTTTTACTTTTGTACCACATTTTGTTTTTGTAAGAGAAAAATATTAAACTGGTTGACTTCCTTTTTTTTTTTCTTTTTTTATTTACAGGAATCTATGAGGACACAACTAGCTCAACATGCTGGCTCTTGTTACAATTCCGGACTGTCTGAAGTTATGACACTTGATGGATTTACCCAAAATATTTGTGTTCAAATGTGAACCACCACTTTGTTGTTTTTTTGTTTTTTTTTATTGCACTTTTTGCTGGTTTTATTTTGAAGTCTCAATTCAGCAGAATGTACTACATTAGTGCAGTGGAAATTACTTGGCAATGTGCTGTCACTGTGCAGGCTGTATAAATTGTTCTTGCGTGCCCTGTCAACATCACTTGAATTGCCTTCAGCTCTCGACTACCCCGTGTTTGAGAAGGGGTGGCGTAGCGGCAGCACTTCAATGTCAATGTGGTGTTTGTTTTTGTATATATAAAAGTGACTCAAGCAGCGTTGTTTGGACACTGCCCTAGAAGCTTTGGCATGAGCTCTATGGAGAGATGTATGTTATTATCTATATAGGTTTTATTAATAGATTTGTTTTACCAAGGTACTATCGTGGACTCTGTTAGCTGTAGCACACCAGTAGCGGCCGGCCCGCACCCCCAGCGCCGCATAGCACGTGCCATCCGAAACTCTGCGCATGCGCCGCGAGGCAGACTTGCTCTTCCCGCTTGTGAAAACATACCCTCGGGTTGTCATCTGCTGGGCATAGAGCAGACGACGTCACAGCGTTTGGCAATGTTTGTTGGACACGGTTTTGTGGGGCACTCTTTCAGGCACAGATGGACTATCAGCCATCTCTGCTCATCTGATATTTTTGCCATAGCGAACTGGTCTCAAACTCATTCTAGACAGGTGATGTTTATTGGGGCAGATTGCAGAGTCATTGCAACTAAAACCCTGCCTGCATTTTTTTTTTTTTTTTGCTTTTTTTAGTAAAAGGCGTGCGCAATAAGAATACACGCTCATGAATCAGTATAAGCACAGTAGGTGGGATCCAGAAATAGAGACCGCTAACTGCAAGTTTGACCGAGAAAAAAAAATTGCCTACCATGATACATACGAGTAGTGGCCACCACTGCGCAAGAGGCGCCCACGAAATTGTGGGCGCCTCTTACACGGAGGTTGCGCTGTGGCGTTGTCTGCTCTGCGCCTAGCTGACGACAAAGCGAGGGTGTGCTCGCAGACAAGAAGAGCAATTCCACCGCACGGCGCATGCGGGGAGTTTCAGACGGCGCTTGCCATGAGGTGCTGGGGGTGCAGGACGGCCGCCGCTCGCGTGTTACAGCTAGCAGAGTCCACGATAGTAAAGAAAAACTTTCAGAGGGCTGGTACAAGGAAACTCTGTACTGTCCAACTCCCCAAGAGCAAGGTTGGTCAATGTAGCTGCTGTTCAACCTCGCTCTTGGAATAGTTGGGCAGGAAAACTGTCCCACCTTATGTGCTTTTGGGCATGGATTAACATCAACAGGTGCTAAGGAACTCACAAACTTAAAAAACCAATATACTTAAAAAACCAATATGGATTTCCACAGCGATAGCTGAAATGTCACCTCCTCACCTCGCTAGTGGAAATTGGCATGAAAGCTGGGCCAAATATGTCTCTAATACTAAAATGGGTACACAGTCAATTACTTTGTTCAGTATGAAGAAGGAGTCCTCAACTGCAATGTGCTTTGATGGTGACTTTCCACAGCATCCCTACTACCTAGATACACACTCTTGTCTCACTTGTATGAGTACCTTTGACCCAGCTCAAGCCATATGAATAAGGAATTAACTTGGATAATCTATTGAGTACGAAAGACCTGATAATATTTGTCGCTCATCAAAACTATTTGACTATTTTTAGGTGGGCACTGCTCTATTTGCCAATGCCTCGGAGTTGCCATTTTTTGTGTTGCCTACAAAATGACAATATCATTCTGCAGATGGCTCTTGCATTAGCATTTTGCAATCCTTCCTGTGTCTTGTTAAACAATGCGCATGGATTGTTTGGTTAACAAAGGACCCTCTTGCCACTACTTGCCCAGTCCGTTCACCTATGACAATGTGGAGCATGTCGAAATTTTATTGTGCTCCATTGAAAATTATTGCAATTTTGATGTGTTGTGTAAATGCATGTGTTCTGTTCGAGAACTTGAGAAATATGTATTAACGGGTTCTGTTTCTTCTCCGAAGCTGAAATGTATCAGTCTGTTTCTCGAAATGCTGGAACCCAGGAATAGCAACAGGTTTATGGCTCAACTGTTTTGCTTTATACCTTATTGGTTCATAATAGGTCAATGATTGGTACATCTAGCCTTGCACGTGTGGCTGGAGGAAAGAAAATCACGAGATAGAAGAAAGCTTGTCAAAAATACCTGCAAATTGGAAAATGAGTTTAAATGTATAGCTCACGTGGTGAGAAAAAAAATCACACAGCGACGTGGAAATATTTAGATGTTTGCCAATCTATGAATTTGCTTTAAAGGGGTCATGAAGCGATTTAGATAGAATTTCACTGACCGCATATTGTTTAAAAGATGAAAAGAAAACTAGCACTCGAGATTAGGAAAGCTAAATTCCAATATTCGGCACAAAATGTTCGCAAATAAAAGCGAACTGTATCTTACATTCCCTCCCTCAAACGCTGGCAATGAAGCTGAGTGTATGAATGGGTGGATTAATAAATAAGTTGTGGTGAAACCTTTTGTATTGTGCGGTAGCTTGCACCATCTATCAAAGTAACCGCAACGTCCACAGTGTATGAGCCTTTTTATTTCTTTTTTTTAGTACGTCAGTTGAATTTAGCTTCCTATTGGACAAGAGTAGTGGGCCGCTCGAACTGTGCTTGGAAACAATGAAATTGTCGACGAAGAATCTCGAGGGAAACGCCCGAGCTCAATATCCGGTTGCATAAGCTGCAGCATCACCGAGAGCACGAGAGGTTTTTCCACAAGGAATTCCATTAGGAATGCATGTTACGTTGTGTCTAACATTTTGTGTTCACACCCAAAATGTGAACCTACCATTCTGTACCGAGTAATCGCCACACCTCCGCGGCCTGTTCCGGCGTTGAACTGCTACAACTTTCATCGAGCAACTTCTCGTTTTGCCGTTTGGGCGTCCCGACATATGGAACAAGGCTCGTACTTTTATTATACCAAAACATTTTCACCCGCACTCGACTCAGCTGCGGCATTGATCGCACAAACGTTGCAGACCAACGAGTCCTACGAAGCAATCGGCGTTCATGGAAACCTCAGTAGGTGATGTCGTTTCAACGTCCTTGCACAGAAACGTCGTTTGGACGCCACGCGATGCTTGGCTGACGCAGCTACCTCGCTCAGCTGGGAGAACTTTTGTTTCCGGTAGAAAGGCATACTTTACGTCGTGGCCACGTAATTTCACATGTTGGCCGAGTCTGGTCGAGTCGAGGAGAAAAGCAGACGGGAGTTTGCATCTTTTTTTTTGTGCAAAACTTTATGCAATTAAACGAAAAAGAATTCCTGCTCCGGGCTTCATGAACATTGACGATTAATTGAGATCTTTGGAAAAAGCTGAAAAATCATCTCATGATCCTTTTAAGATTGGAAAACTATGCTTCATTCTCCCTTTGCCTGTCCTGTGACTATCGTAGCACTTAATGTGAGCGTTTTAGTGCAAGTTCAACCTCGGTAAATGGGAAAACCAAATAGAATATTTTTATTGTTTCGTCGAAATAGTGTGAATAGTTTTAGTTGAACAGTGGATTAAAAAATTAGCTATGAAGTTGCCTTCTTCTGGGAACAAGTGAATAATTTCCAGTGTCCATTTGTATGTAGGGTTTCGTGTTTTTGGATGTGTCAGAAAAGCACTCGCCAGTAAATTTTATGCAAATTCCAATTTATCCGAGAAACTCATAATTATGAGGTCACAATGACAATAAAAAGCAAAAAAGACTACTAGAGTTTTACACATAAATCTCGTAAAAGCACAGGGTCAGTGGTCCTGAGGAGATGCCACCCCGGTTTCTTTTGAAATCTCAAACTACTGGCAAAAGGAGTTTGCCACTTCGCTCGTAAAGGTTCCTTTAGGACAACGGGTCATAGTAGCCAAAGATTATTTATTTTGTTTTTGAATTTTCAAAAATTGGGAACACTGTAAAATAAGTTCAGAATTCAGAGAATTGAGAACAAAAATGAACTCCTATAAACCCTACATTTTTTGACAAAAAATAAACTTGGAAAAGCACCCTCCGAATTTTGTGAGACTCCTTTTTATATGGCAGCCTCGGGAGCATTTAGCAGTCTTATTGAAAGTGTGAATGTTCGACTATCGGAGAGCCATATGTATAGGAAACGTAGTGCAAGGTATGAAATACCCATTGTTAGAGTGGGTTTTAGGATAAAGTGATATATAAAACAAACTGTGTCCATAACTCGCAATTTAGCTGCACATGTGATATCAGTAGTTGTGGGAGGATTTAAATACTAACGTGAAGTCTTTACCCTTCTTGGAAGTGTCGTGCCCATTTTTCCATGAATTTCAGAACTGACCAGAATGCCACTTCCCAGTTTTATCACAATTATCCGATTTCAAGTACCTAGGCACTCCTTTACTAGTTTGCAAAAAGCAGTTTTATACTGTAAGGAACATACAGAAACTCGTTTGACTGCACGGTTATGATCAGTTTAGGGCCATTATTATAAGTGTCTGGCAGATGTTATCCACCTTAAAATGGAGCTTGCCTTTACGTGGTGAAAGACTGAATGTACTAGTAGTCCTGATTTGAAAGTGTGTGAAGTCCATCTTGAATTTGAGGGGGTGGGGTGAGGGGGTATATGCAAACGGAGAGGTGCCTTGCAAGGAACGCGCAAGAAAATAGAAAAGGCATGCTGGTGCAGAAGTTGGGAGCTCGCCTAATCTCTGTGTGCAAAGGCACCGACACTGCTGTTTGGCCCCCTCCTCCCCCTCCTTCGCATGTTCACCCCCTCACCCTCCTGTCGAAAGCAACTTTATATGTTTTTGAGGAAGGTGGCAGATATGCTTCTGAATAGTGCGCATGAAGTGCATTCACTGGTATCGTATCCAAGTACAAACCTGCACCGACACGTCTTCACAAGAAACGCATGTCTGTTTATGTTATTCTGTTTGTAATAAAATCCTTTTTTGTTTTCTGTTCTCTGGGCCTCATGACAAAGTATGCACATGAGAGGTTGTGTAGAGGAGACTGTGATGCTTTAAAAAGTGTCTTGTTGGCTCCAACTTTGGTGTAAATGTACCTATAAAAATAAAAGAAAAAAAAAACATGGCAATTTAGTCATTCAGTGTTTAATAAAAACTTTATTAAGCTGTCAATTAAAAATATACATAACATTGATGTACTCTCACCAGTATCGTTCACCTCCCACATTTTAAACATTGAAAAAACCCTAATAACAACCAAGCTTTTTTTTCTTTTTTTTTTTCTCTGTGGTGCAAGAAGTTGCTTTCCAGACTTGGTGAAAAAATGTTTTTGGCCTGTCTCGCATACTCCTGCAACTGCACACTTGTGAAACTGAAATTGACTGGCTGCTGATCCACAAGTAAACTTTTTTTCAAGAGATGAGTGTGCTTGCTGCCGTTGTGTTATATATCGTGGAAATTGTTGTCACAAGTTGCGCTTGGCCTGAGCTTTTTAGTGGATGCAAGCCGATTTCAATCACGAAAGAGTTGCACAAACGCGGTAGACAGAACAGTCTATACTTCCGGGCTGCCTGAATCTACATTAACCCGAGGGATGCACACATTATCGAAGGCAAGCAGGTATAACGGCATGGCGCAAGTTATTTTCTGAACATGAGTCTATCATTGCGGGCAGTTTCTAGATGCATTGTACTATCACCGGTAATTTGTAACTTCATAAGCGGGACTTTACTTCGCATACTTTTTCCCAGCAAATTTAAGGACGGCTGCACCTCGCAATGAACACCAATTGATCGCCGTGGTCGGGAGACCTTGCACAATTGTGGTTCCATCTAGATACACTCCCACATCGTACACTGTGTGCACTACTATCTGATCACACTGCTTTCACAAGCCACATGTCCCACAACACTGCACAAAACTCCCGGGTGGGAATACAGCGCGAAGATCAACAACTGAAACATGAGCGGCCAAACAACCTCGAGACACTAAAATCGTCCTCGTCAGATTTCGGTAGCCTCCAAACTTGGTCGTAGAGTTAGTTCGGGAGGGCCAGCATTGCACAGGTGTAGATGAGCACATTAACGCAACAGGCGTAAGTATATCGGACAAAATATGACTCGCGCTCTGGGTACCTGGAAAGTTAACGCTTTTATTACAGCCAAGCTAAATACAGAAACTTTGCTATCAAAATGAGAAGCAAAACAATTTGTTCGCTATATTTCAATCCAAATAATAAAACAAGTTTTCAAATTCATTTTGCCGCGACACTTGACAACCACACTCGACGACGCGTCCCACGTGGACGTCAGAATTACCAGTGCCACTCCGTAAGCTACATGTCAGAGTAGCAGCACTTCGGCCATCTTGGTGCCAGTTGCCCGAAGCTTTATCCGATATAGCAGGAAATGGTCGTTCGTCCTCCAGGAATTTAAAAACCGTCCGCGAAAAATGACGTCACCCGAGCTTCCCAACACTTTGTCTAAAGTTGAGGAAATTGCATTTTCGTATCGTAACAATCTCCAATTGCACCCGCTCTGTACTAAGCACCGAAATGGCGGTGCCCTCGAGAGAACCGGGGAACGGAGTACCGATGCTCCTAAACGTAGCTCATTTAGTGGCTCTAGGAAACAACCCCCAGCTTCTCTGGTGGTCCCGTATCGCAATTCTCGGTTCCGAGAGGTACCGACGCTCATCAAGCGCAGGCCGCAGACTCTTGAAAAACGAGACAACGGCGAGGTACAATAAAAACTCGCTATAATTGCACAAACTCGCAAGAGGCTGCAAACGCCTGCTGCGGCAAACCGGGAAGAACTTGCAACAGTGCAAACCGCAACCGGTCTCTCGCAAGTTCCACCAATGTGCGGTCGTGACTGTGCCCTCTTTTAGTGAGGAAGCCGTCCTTCCTTCCGCTCTTGCGATCCGAAAGATGCGCCGGCAGAACGGAGTGCCTGCTCCTAGCTCCATGTCAGTGCTCATCTGAGTTGCCTCAGCCTGCGTCTGCTGACGAGGTACAGGCAGAGCTGGAAGACCACGGGCCAGGCCAAGAGGAGAAGAAGCAGGTGAGGAGCGACCCCACCAAAGAGCCACCAGCGTTGGTTTTGCCGTGACTGCACAGGGAACAGTGTAGAGTTCAACCGAAGGCTCCAAGCAGCCACAATAGTTTATGCTAGAAATGTGTGCAACGTATAGCAAAATTTTTGCCTCTTCCCTGTCCACATTTTTTTATGCGTTAATGCCCAGGTTCAGGAATGTTTACTCCCCAGAGAAGTAATGAGAAGGCTGCACTCGGCATGCTTTGTTGTATGCTGTGCGAGGTGCTACTGTATTTCACAGAGAATCAGCGTAGCAACAGCAACAATTTCGGCCCTTTCTTTTTTGTTGCTAAAAACAGCATGTTGTTGCATTACTTTCTCGCTACCGTTTGACATGTCAGCTCGGTGGTTCCTAGACAGTGAGGTTTAGGTTTCTTAGGTGGTGAGAGGGGTGTCTAGGGTGGTGTGATGCCTTTTTGAAAAGGGGACATTGCCCAGAAAAAAAAAAAGTTCTGCAAACAAGGGTGATTTTTAAAAATGTCATATTTACATCCACCAGCATCCAGAGAGTACTCCCAGAAAGTTTTATTAATTTAGACTGCATAGTAGTGATGCAAAACTATCGATAAATTGACTATCGATACTATCGATAGTTTTTCCAAAACTATCGATAGTGTCCCAGAACTATCGATAGTCGACTATCGATAGTACCATCGATAGTTTTTCGATAGTCGACTATCTATAGTTTTTCGATAGTCGACTATCGATAGTACTATCGATAGTTTTTCGATAGTCGACTATCAATAGTTTTTCGATAGTACTATCGATAGTTTTTCGATAGTCGACTATCGATAGTACTATCGATAGTTTTTTTATAGTCGACTATCGATGGTTTTTTACTATACTGGCGACTAACGATACTATCGCTACTGCTATCGATAGTCTTGCACCACTATAGTCCGTTACAACTTAAGAAGGCTGGTCGAGGGTGAGATGGGCCGGGGAGGAGGAAGCAGACGGAACGCTAAAGAGAGAAGGAGGTTTCCCCCTCTCTTCTCCAGCGGTTCGTCTGCTTCCTCCTCCCCGGCCCGTCTTGCCCTCGCCCCACCGTTCGCCTCCCCCTTCTTTTTTCGCCCTAACCCCCATCTTCGTCATCACTGAAAGCTGAACCAAAGTTGGGATGGTAAGTGCTTGGGCTAGTTGGTGCCCCGTTTGAAAAAAAAATTAAAGCGATAAATAGACAAGAGGGAGCGACGCAAACTACTAGTGTCGCAAAACTATCCATAGTAAACTGTCGACAGTACTATTGATAGGTTTACGATAGTCGACTATCGATAGTTTTCCGATAGTCGATTAACAATAGTTTTCTGATAGTCGACTATCGATAGTTTTTCGATAGTACTATCGAAAGTCGACTATCAGTACTATCGATAGTTTTTCGATAGTCGACTATCGATATTACTATCGATAGTTTTCCGATAGTCGACTATCGATAGTACTATCGATAGTTTTTCGATAGTCGACTATCGATAGTACTATCGATAGTTTTTCGATAGTCGACTATCGATAGTACTATCGATAGTTTTTTTCACTATCGATAGTCAGATTTCTGGCGACTATCGATAGTACTATCGATAGTTTTGCACCACTACTGCATAGCCATACTTTTATAAGTTATTTTCGGTCCACCAATGCTAAAGAAAAGGAAGACGTTAGAGCATGTTGAATGCATTTTTCTCCATTCCACTTTTTGACATAAATGTCACTTTAGGAAACTCATTTTGTAACGGGACGAAGGGAAAAACTCCCTCATTTTTTTTCGTAACTGAAAATTATTAGGCAACGCAACTGTGGCATTGTTTTTTTTTACTTTCTGGATGTCTTTTATAATATATATTAAGATTTTGTAGACGACATAAAAGGCAAAAAATTCATTTGATTTTTTGCCGTGATATTAGATAATATAAATTACTTTTTGAAAATTTCGTTTTCACAGTTGCACTGTCCAGGCATTCTGCTGCATATCTAGTGAAGAAAAACGTTTGGTATTGTACTAGTTTTCTAACGATAGTTTTCCTAAACAAAGTTGATGCGTTCCTGAACTATAATTTCTTTTACAATTCATGTATGCCGATAAAACTCTGCCCTGCTTTCTGCCTCGCAAGTGCCAGTATATACTGTAAATTTCATTTATATTAAGGGGGGACATGGGCCTAAATTTTAAATTTTTTTTTTTTAAATTATTTTTCAATTTTGATGTGTTTAGTTTTAGAAACTAATTATACACCCTTACACCAAATTTGATAACCATATGCTAAATATTTACATTGATATAAAATATTTTCAACACATTGTGAGGCAGTAACAAAGTAAAGGAGTTCAATGTTTGAATGCATTTTTCTCAGTTCCACTTTTTGCTGCAAATTTCATACGAAGGAATCTTTTGTTCGAAGGTGAAAGTATTCTAATACCACAATCAACATGTTTCTGAACTGAAATTTACTGGCAATCTATCGGGCAATCTACTTTATTTGGTTTTAAGTTGAAATCCTCAGTGATAAAAAACTAAGTTTTCAAAAATTGACATAGAACAGATATGCATCTCATAGTTTGAGGTAACAACTTTTCCTAAAATTTTTACATTTAAGTTATTAAAACTAGATAGCCCAAGGTCCCATATTCCCCACTTTATATTCAACCAGTCAAAACGGTGCTTAATAGCTTCATTTGCATATCATAGATTTCTTAACGAAGGGTGACACATCACCTTATGCAGGTATGTAAATTTGCCCTAGAGAGCTGAAAGTTTGCACAGTACACCTACATCTGAAGCTAAATCTTCCCTGCAAATTTCATTCCGATCACTCGAGTAGTTCAAAAGTTCGACCTCTAGCCAGTGTCCCCCCTTAAGCAAAAGGTTCAAAAGTCGACCCTTTTGCGTAGCGTCCCCCCTTAAGTCCTATGGGGCACCAAGATCTGGGCCATCTGAACTTGCAACATATTTAAGGATAAGCCAGTAGCACAGACAATAAAAATAGCATAAAGCAAGAAGAGATGTGGATGCCTAGCTGGTCCTGAGTGCAAGTATATTTGGGAGACTCTAAAAGCTAGACACCAGCAGCCACCATATTCAGCAGGGGCTCTATATCGCACCACAATCCATGGACCATGTATGTAGCGTTATGAAGTATACTGTAAAGAGAAGACTTACATACTTAAGGCTGGCAAGCATGAGCTGGAGTACCAATGCCTGAATTATTAATACATTATGCTTGAAATAGCATAAGAAGGCCTACGAAGGAGAAGTGGAGATGGCATGGGAAAGAACGCAAGGTAAGTACTCAGAAGCCATCTTGTGGGGGGCAAGCTCCTATAGGGTGATTTCAGACAAGATCGACCAAAGGGTGGCTGGTCGACATTTTTAAATGAACTGATGTTTTTATATGACATTGTCTAGTGTCTGGTATAAACGAATCCACACTTAGTTTTGACCAGAAAAAAAATTTGGAGACAAGAAAAATCGTAAGGCAGGGAGAGGTGGACAGTTGCAATAACGCGCACTGATGGAGGGGGCAAGTTTGAAAGTGAATAATTAAAACAATAAAATTAGGAGAATTTTAAACCTTTTACAAACAAACAATGGGTACAACTTGCTTGTAATATAAAGTAATAATATTTATTAAAAATTTATTTAGTTTTCTGAAAATTGCCAAACATGCCTGCTCGAACGACAAATGGCAAATTTTGGAAATCTGTATCTCATGAAATAATTTAATCATTATTACATAACTTGCAGACATTATTTTACTAATATATGGCTATTATTGAAAAAATAAATAAGGTATCTGAGTGACACAATAGTTACAATATATTTAGGCAAACATGGGAAAAAAATCAAACAAAGAAACATTCCAATGCGAATAAAAAAAAAACACCACCTTCGATTTTTTTTAAATTTGGGTACCCTGTTATACTCTATTTCGGCATTCATTTCTATTAAAAACATGTTGCATCATTGCACTGTGAAAGAAGAAACAACTCCCCAAAGTAGGGTCCTTTTTCAAAGCCTACACTTAGCAGTGTCCTATACAAGAAGTGACTCTGAGTTCCAGTTTCATGAAACTTGCACAAATCTTTTATATACATTTATTCAGATGAGGTCATTGATAAAAAGAGTGATCGGTCACACAGTAAAAGGGAGGAGAAACTATATACAGCATTTTACATAAGCGTACAAAGTGGTATCATATTAGAGACTAATGATTTGAGAAAAGATGATGCAGTGTGAAGTTGTACCTTCCGGTATATCTTGCATCTAGAGTAAAATAAATAACTTTACTTCCACACACAAAAACAAAGATATAATAGTAAGATATTTAGGTTGGCTGTGTATTTACGATTACAAACAATTTCAGGTGACGGATGCCATAGTGCCTAACTGGAGCAGCTTCGATGCTCTCGGTGTATGAATGAATTGTGGCAAGCCGATATATTTTATCCTGCTCGAGGATAACATTTTGGGATTTTTTTTATAGTGATCAGATAAAAATTATTAGTAACCACCAACAAAAACAGTAGGTTAAATACCCCGTGAAGAAAAATGTGATAAATAAGATGTCCCTGCATTCAAAATGAGCAGTCCTTGGGAAATCAAATTCGGCACTTTACGCTAAGGTTTTCCTCGCTGTACCCATTTAATAAAGTTGCTTCCAAGCAGATCCGACTGTCCGTGCTACATATATGCCACAGGTCCCTTCTGTTGATGACTTGCTGAGCCGCCACGCGTGCCAAGACTGAATGCCAGGGAAGGCGCACACCGTCAGCCACTCTTCTTTTTTTTGTTCACGATACCGAACAACCTCATTTTCGTCCAGATATACAAGATGAACGCCTTTCAGTTTCTTTGATAGAACGCTCACCATTGTCCTGGCCGTCTGAATTGCGCTTACTGAACGTTCTCTCAGGTTGTTCAGCGTGGCCTGGTGCTTCAAGAGTCCGCCAACTCCGTCACATGCATTTTTCCCATGTCCAGATGCAAAAAATAACCACTGGGCTTGTGGGCAATCGTCCTTTGC